AGAGGGTGAAAGAAGAGCATGGAATTCTGAGAAAAATTCCACACAATGTTGACACACATGAGTACAGTGGGAATCTCCATTCTACATCTGGCCAGGGGAAGTCAACCACCAGAATTCCTTAGTTTAAGGAAACTCAGACCTAAATGTGGGAATGATTGGATGAGTGTATGAAGTCGAGACCTTATAAATCTTTAAATTGATTTACCTTGGTCTGTCTTATTTCAGTCTCTCCACTTGAGTCCACCATATACAGTTCTTAGTATGGAGTTGAGCTCATGTTAAGTGACTAATTTAAGTTTGTCATGCTTAAAGGTCATGAATAGGATTCCTAATAAGAAAAGAGATCTGTTTTAGCCCATTATCAATGTAAATGAAATACCTCAGATTTATTTTGTGTTTAATTAAACATTCACATGCTATTCTGATATATGGTCTAGAGGGTCTTTTGAGGTCTTTTACTCTACATGTATACACAAGGACTCTTCTAGAATTTAGGATGATATCTTTCTCCCTGTTGAAATGCATGTGAAAAGTGTACACCTCTTCCTTCATTACTTGTGGAGCTCCTTCTCTCTTTGACAGTGGTTTTTCCCTCCATCCTTGAGTTCTTATGCTCTTTTGTGTTGTCATAGACCCCTAAAATCTAATAAAAACCTCTCTACCTAGGACATGCACACATTCAACATGTAATTGCAGGGTGTTCATGGAGCCCGTGAAACCCATTCTTGGATCCCAGCTTAAGAATCTCTGTCTCTGGACCTTTTCAGTTCTAGTGCAGAGTTTGGCAAACTATAGACTGTGAGCCAAATCCAGCTTTCTTCTTGTTTTATACATGAAGTCATTATTAGAATGCAGCCATGCCCATTGGCTTGTGTTGTCTGTGGCTGCTCTTGTGCCATGAGGGGCAGGATCGAGTAGTTGCCACAGAGACCATCAGGCCTGCCGAGCCTAAAATAGTCACTGTCTGGCCCTTTACAGAAAAGATTTGTTGACCCCTGTTCCAGAGTCCTTAACCTCAGTTAACTTTAATGCTCTTTAACCTCAGTTCATGAGGTAGTATAAAACTAGAAGCTCTGTATTTATTTAACTTCTACATAGGAAGTTCTCATAAGAATAGAGTTCTGTTTTCTGAGTATAATTTGAATATGTAAGAATTCACTGTTGAGTAATTTCCTTATTTTTTCATCCAGATCCCATCCCTGGAGCCTGTAATTTGGAGTTTGATTTAGATATTGATCCCAACATTTACCTGGCGTATGATTTCTTTGAAACAACTATCAAATTTGCCCCAGCAAACCTAGGCTATGAAAGGTATGTCTGTCTCTTAATGACTGGCTATTGTGTAGATTCAGTGAACTCTTTCAGAACTCATCGTTCTTTTTAGTGAAATTGAGTTGTTTATTTTTTCGAATAAATGTAATTCATACATTGTAACTAATACCAGAGCTGTCAAATGACAGTTAATGCTGTCCCTCTCCATTCTTAGAAGAGCCAGATGTTGAGTCTCTATTATGACCATAGAAGTACGTCCTAGTTTCTGTAAAAAGTTTTAAATATGGAAAGCATTCTGGAGCCATGAAACACCCTTTTTTTTGTAAGAATTTTATTATTTTATTAAAACTGCCTTAGTTTATACTTTAATAGTAATGATAACTAACATTTGATTAACATTTGAATGCTCTTTGTGTATCCACAGTGCTGAGTGCTTTACGTTCTTTGTCATTTAATCTTAACAATTTTATTAAGAAGGGGCAGTTCTTACATTACAGAAAGTTTCCTTAAGGGTTATTGAGATTAAGTGACTTGCTTACTTACACACAGCTAATAAATAGCAAAGCTGGCATTTAACTCTAGGCCTGACTGACATTAACATCTGGTTAATTAACCATACTGCCTGTCTGTGTTATTTTTCTTCATAATGCCAAAGTTGGAATCGTTGTTTTAGAAGTTTGAACTTTGAGCTTTTGGTTCCTTTTTATAGATGAAACTTGCACAATAAGAGATTGATGTTCAGTTTTGTTGGTTGAATTTAGAGGCACAGATCCTCCACCATGTGACATCAGGACAGGACAGGACTCTAGGTGGAGGTTGCAGTATGATGTCTATCAGTATTTTCTGCCTGAGAATGACCTCACTGAAGAGGGGTTGCTGAAGCATTTGCAGAGGATGGCCGAAGTGCCTCAGGTGACAGCCAATGCTATCAAGGTAAGTCTAATTATCATGACTTACATGGCCAGATTGAGACACTTTGTTAAGAGTTGAATAGGGAAGAAGCTACTAGGATCTTATTTCTTTACTGTTCGCTTGGTCTTTTTAGGATTCTCACTTTATTCTCTTTTATTTTGTTATGTCTTGAGGGTCTTTGCTAGTTATACCCCAAAGTAATGCTAGTCTTTGAAGAGATGCGTGTAAATTATATTATGTTTTATTTGTAGCCACATATATGAATAGGTAATCTTGAGATATGGTTGGAAGTGGGTGGTAATTTTCTGTGTATTCTCATACCTCTAACTTGGAGCAAAAATTTTCTCTGAGCTTTTGAACCCCTGTAAATTCTTGCTACTCTGCGTGTGGAGAACAGACCAGCAGCATTGGCATCATCACCTGGGAGTTTGTTTCAGTTGCAGACTCTTAGGTTCTACCCCATTCCTAGTTTATGAGATCCTCCAGGTGATTCCAATGCACATTAAATTTTGTAGAGGGCAGGATTTTATCTGTCTTAAAAGGTGCCTGATAGCAGTCTAATAATATACAAGGTCGTTCTTCAGTCTAATGGTTAATGAGCAGAGTTTCTGTAGGCTGCTTCTTTCCAGAGAACTGATAGATCATATATAAGGAAGTGATTGAAACAAGCATATGTGATTACCCTAGGGACTCACAGCATCTCATTTTGTTGCCGTGTTGCCTAGGATGTCATTGCCCCCTGCTAAGAAGGAGCTTTATACAAGAAAGCTCATCATGCTTATTCACAAATTAGGACACAAGTTAGGACACTCTTTTGAAAAAGTTTATCAGTTTGTCGTTTTTAAAATAGTAAATTTTGAAGACCATTTTTATTCTCATGAAGAATATAAGAACTCTCTCCCATTTACAATTACCAAAAAAAAAATAAAATACCTTGAAATTAATTTAAGGAGGTTAAAAAAAACTGCTTTGAAAGTTATAAGACATTGAAGAAGACAGAAATAAATGGAAGCTTACACTGTTCTCATGGATAGGAAGAATGAATATCATTAAAATATCCATACTACCCAAAGCAGTCTGTAGACTCAGTGCAATCCCTATCAAACTATCAATGGCATTTTTCACAGAACTAGAACAAAAAAATCCTAAAATTTATATGGAACCATAAAAGACTCTGAATAGCCAAAACAATCTTGAGAAAGAACAAAGTTGGAGGTATCGTACCACCTGATGTCAAACTATACTACAAGGCTAGAGTAATCAAAACAGCATTGTACTGGCATAAAAACAGACACCTACATCAATGGAACAGAATAAAGAACCCAGAAATAAACCCAGATCTCTATGGTCAGTTAATCTATGACAAAGGAGGCAAAAATGTACAATAGGGTAAAACAGTCTCTTCAGTCAATGGTGTTGGAAAAATTGGACAGATACATACCAAAAAAATGAAAGTAGACCGCTTCTTATACCGTATACAAGAATAAACTCAAAATGGATTAAAGACTTAAATATAAGACCCAAAACCATAAAACTTTTAGAAGAAAACATAGGCAGTAAATGCTCTGACATGGCTCTTAATATTTTTTTGGATAATAAACAAGTGGGACTACATCAAACTAAAAAGTTGCCCAGCAAAGGAAAGTGTCAACAAAATGAAAAAACAACCAGTTAATGGGAGAAGATATTCACCAATGATATATCTGGTTAGGGGTTAATATCCAAAAATATATAAAGAACTCATATAACTTAGCAAAAAAAATCAGATTAAAAAATAGTCAGAGGACCTAAGTAGACGTTTCTCCATAGAGGACAGATGGCCAGTAGAAGGTCACTAATCATCAGAGAAATGCAAATTAAAACCATGATGAGATACTACCTCATACCTGTCAGAATGGCTATCAATAAATCAACAAACAAGTGTTGGCAAGGATGTGGAGAAAAGGGAACCCTTGTATACCATTAGTGGGATTGCAAACTGGTGCAGCTACTGTGGAAAACAGTATGGAGGTTCTTCAAAAAATTAAAAACAACTACCTTATGACCCAGCTTTTGGTTATTTATCCAAAGAAATCCAAAACACTAATTTGAAAAGGTCTGTGCATCCCTATATTCCTTGCTACATTATTTACAGTAACTAAGATATAGAAGCAACCTAAGTGTCCATTGATAGATGAATGGATAAAGAAAAGGCGGTACATATATACAATAAAATATTACTCGGCCATAAAAAACAATGAAATCTTACCATTTACGACAACATGGAAGGACCTAGAGGATATTATGCTAAGGGAAATAAGACAAATAGAGAAAGACAAGTACCATATAATTTCACTTATATGTGGAATCTAAAAATCAAAACAAATTAACAAACAAAATAGAAACAAACTCATAGATACAGAGAACAAACTATTATTGACTATATTTCTTATGCTGTATTTAACATCCCCATGACTATTTTGTAACTACCAATTTGTATTTTTTAATCCTTTCACCTTGATTATAAGTCTTGAATAAATAAAAACAAGTCCATACAGATACTAAAAAAAAGAAAAAAGAAAAAAAAACCCTAGTCTACCATCGG